GTACCCCAACTCCTTTCTGCCTGCTTTGCCGCCCAGGAACGATACTGGCATTTGGTGCTATGATCGTGGAGCTCGGTCTGAAGGACATTTTGTCGTCACAGGATCGGTGTTCACTGACGGATCGTGCAAGACGTTGCTTCACTCGGACGCTGCTGACCGCGCGGGCTGGGGATTCGTGGTTGTGGGAGATCCCCGCTACTACGGAGCTGTCTTTGGGCCGCTTCCTGGCCATCGCCAGACGTCCGCTCGGGGCGAGCTTTTCGCTGTGATTCAGGTGCTGTCCGTCGGCGTGGCCCCGCTCCACATCTTCACGGACTACTTGCCGCTGCTTGAGGGGCTGGCGCGCGGCAAGCGCTGGTGCCTCAATCCGAGGCGTGAGAACGTCGATATGTGGCGTCGCCTTTTTTCACCAGCTTGAGGATCACGGTGGTTTTTCCATTTCTGGTGACCTGGAAGGGCCGATTCGTTTCTCTTACGTCAAGGGCCACTCTTGTGAGGACTCGTGGCATCGCCGCTGCAATGATTTGGCTGATCAAGCGGCGAAGAGGGGTCGGCAGATGCACGACCTTCCTCTGGGCGTTGTCGAGAGGTACACCGACTCGCTGAATACGCTCAGGTCGGTCGCGACATGGATTGCAAACGCCTCCAGGGTGATTTTCGACGGCGCCGTGGCCCCCGATCGCATGGACGCCCCACGGCGGCGGGACATGGAGCTGCGTGGCCGCTGGGCGCAGCTGGAGGCGGCAGGCGCTGGAGGCGGCAGCGCCGTGAGGGCGCGCCGAGGTGCGGGTTCGCCCGCAGGTGAGCAGGCGTGCCCGCCTCAGCTCCTGCATCGTGTGCGGCTCAGAGGCAGGAAGTATAGTTGTGATCGTTGTTCCGCTTACGCGGTGACTCCGAAAGGTGCTGCTAGGCTTAGGAGGGCTCTTTGTAGGGTCGCGGGGGCGGCGGCCCTCTGGGGCCTGGAGGGTGTTTCGCTTGTGCCTTCCTCGACTTCGGCCCCTGCTGGGCCGAGGGGCCCTGGCGGGCCGAGCGGGCGCGCCTCGGGCCCCTCTGAGGTTGGCCCCTCCTTGGAGCTTCGGGGTGTTGAAGCCCCAAGTGGGCCAGAGAGGCCGCCGCCCTTCGCGACTGAGGGTCTTGAGCGGTCCTTGGCCTTTAAGCGGGTGAGGTTTCAGGTGGATGGTGTGGGAGAGGACCAGCTGGATGCTGAGGTAGGGGAAGCGCGTCGGCGCGCCAAAGAGGCACGCTCCCTGGGCCCACGAGAGCCCCCCCCCCCCCCCACCGCCACCCCCCCCCCGCTCCTGCCAGGACGGCGAGGGACCGCAGGGCTGGTGGGCCCCTGGAGGGGCCTTGTCCGAAGGCGCCTCGGACGGGGGCTGCGCCCTCTGCCTCGGGCGTCGGTGAGCCTGCGGGCTCTGGGGAGCTTGTGGGGCCTCCGCCCTCCAAGCGCCCTCGGACCTTTGGAAGTCCTGGTGGGCCTTCCTGGGTCGCGCGTGAGGCCACCCGCCCTGAGGTCCCTCTCCCCGCTCAAGGCCCTGTTGGGCCCAGTAGTGCTAGAGGACATCAAATTAGTCTTGCTGGTGAGACCCTTGCTTTCTGCCACCGCTGCGGCGCCAGGGCCCAGCCGTCGGCCCCTCGCTCTCGTTTGTGGGGCCAGTGCGAGGGAATTGCATCCAGCAAGGACGCCGCCTTTTTAAAGCGCCTAGTGGTTGGTAGAGACCCCTGCTCTGGCGAATGGCGGGGCGAGCCCCGTCCTCTCTTCCCCACAGACGATGCCTGCTTCTGGCTTCGTCTGCGGTAGTCTGAGGCTCCGTCTCGGGCTGTTCTCTCTTTAATCGTCGGGTTGCGCGCCCTCGGCCTGTGTCCTTCTCTTTTCCCCTCTTTTCGCTCGCTCTGCGCACTCGTTTCGATCTGGTCGTGCCTCCCCCCCTACTCCTACAGTTGACGCTGGGACTATGTCAACATAAATTGCAAAAGAGGCTCGATGATCCTTGGGCCATTCCATGAGTTTTTATTTCGTGTGTCTGCGAGCAGCTGAGACCCAGAAGGGGCATCGCTCCCCATCCAAGGCCCAGAAGGCGCCTCATCTCCTCCTTTTTTCCGCACCTCTTCTGTTGAGAAGTTCGCGCCTCTATAGCTCGGTTGCCGCTTCGACCGCGGTGCGATCGCTCCACCGCCGCAGATGAAAAAAAAATCCAGTCCTGGTGTTCCTTGTGCCGTCGGCCCTTTAGGGTGCCGGTCCCTCAGGGAGTCCGCATGCCCCGATTCTGCCGGTTGCTCCGCCAGCGCCGGCGGACCAGCCCCTCCCCCCCCGCGTGCGCGCGTCTCCGCGCGCGCGGGAGGGCGCACAGGCGTTTGGCGGGGCGGAAGGGGAGAAGGAGGAGGAGGAGGAAGAGGCGGAAGGAAAAGAAGAAAAAGGAGGCGGAGCGGGATGAGGAGGGGAGGGGGGAAGGAGGATGGGGAGGCGTAAGGAAAAGAGGAGGAAGAGGAAGGGGGAGGGAGGAGGAGAGGGACATGATTAGCAGGCGTGGTTGAATCCGCAAAATCACAATAGGCGACCACACGTAAACCCTTCGACTGCCCACATTTGCCCAATTCAATCAAGTATGTGTCTACAAGGGCGTCAAGATCATCGGGTTTCGCGCGTTGCGGCCTGTGCCGGGGAGCTACCCTTCTCCAAGGCGGCTTCGCAAAAGCGCGAAGGTGATCGAGCATCGCGGGGCGTTATGCGCGAAGGCAAATGAAATTTGAAACTTGTATGAGCAGGTCCGCTCGAGGTCCGAAAGAGTGACATCAGGTTTGGGCGTCGGTGCGCGCCGACCTCCGCATCGTCCTCCTCGTCCTCCTCCTTTTCCCCCTCCTTCTCTTCCTCCTCCTCTCGTTGTTTGACTCGCCCCCGACTCCGGCGTCCGAGGCCAGCTTGTTGGCCCCAGGGCCATCGACAAACACAGCATGAATTGGGTTCTCGGAGCTCTGCGACCCACGCCGTGAGAACAGGCCACTGCGTCGGAAGTTTGGCCAGACGGGTAGGGGTGTGGAGGGTGAGGAGGAGGTGGACGAGGAAGAAGGAGCAGAAGCTTGCTGCTCTTCCTTCACCCTCCTTCTGCGCTTCCTCCTTCTGAAGGAGGAAGCGCAGAAGGAGGGTGGAGGAAGGGAAGATGAGCAGAAGCACGGATGAGACGAGGAGGATCATGTCAGACCGCAGGGGTACGATCGGTCGAACTCGAGGAGTCACGAGCAGAGATCAGGCCAGCAGCTCTGGTTGTGATTGTCTCACGACGCCCGAGTTTCGAGTCGGATCAAGCCGTGGTGACGAGGAGTATCCTTGAGGCCCAGCAACGATGATAGACGTCCACCTTATCAACGTGGAGATCCCAATATATACACCAACTTTTCTGGCGAGGGGAATGAGCAATGGTGGGCGACTGCGTACGAGTGAATCTAACAGTAAGCGAATCCGGGCAACGGTGCCCTTGATACGCTAGTCGACTCACCTTTGGGGTGCCCACGGGTGCGCCGACAAGGGCCCCCGAAGGAGCACAAATCTGGACGCGACCGGGCCCTGGTACACCCCTAGTCAATCCCATGTTGGAGCGGCAAGGTGCTATGCCTGCTACGTCGCGGTGGTCACAGTGGCTCTGAAAAGCAAGAGAAGCCTGGGGTGCCTACACAAGCGTTCAGCCTGAGAGTGGACATGAATCTGGACGCGAACGGGCCCGTGCGACATACCTGGACGCGAACGGGCCCGTGATACACCCATGGGCGGCTCGCCCCCTTGGGCGCCCAAGTGCCATGCCTGCCTCATCGCGATTGCTATTGAGCTCTGGAAGGAAAGGAGCCTGGGGTGGCAAAGCAGGCTCCGACTTGCAAGTGGTAAAACAATTGGACGCAAACGGTGAGGTGATACACCACTGGTCGACCCCCCCTGGGGGTGCCCAAGTGCTATGCGTACTACGTCGTGATGGATAGTGGGCTCTGAATAGAGAGGAGTCTGGGGGGCGGCCTAAACAAGATTTCCGCCTCAGTGTTGGCACATCTGGACATGAACGGGCCTGTGCTGAAACCTTGGCGGCAGGACATGCCTGTGATGTAGCGATGATCATGGGCCCCTGAAAGGAGAGGAGTCTTAGGTGAATCGACGATCGCTCTACCTAGCACTGAACACACATCTGGTCGCGTACGCGCCCGTGATCAGCCCCTGGTCGACTCCCCGTTGCGATGCCCAAGGGATATGGAAGATGAGTCTGGGATGCCGAAGAAGGGCGTCCAACCTTGAAGTCATCACGAGTCTGGACGCGAACTTGCCCGTGATGCACCCTGGGTGAATTCCCCCTCGGGGCGCCCAAGTGCTACGCCTACAACATCGCGGTGATCATAGGGCTCTGAGTGTCGGGGAATCTAAATATGATAGCCGGGCAAGGACTGATCCTGGGCATGACTTATCTGAATGTGGCATGATTAGTGCGTACCGGTTTGAATTTCTGACTTAGTTGGGTAGGTGTGGATCCGAGTGTGAGCGAGTCTGATGGTGAGTGGGCCTGTGTCTGATTGAGTGTGGGTATGAAAAGTATGAGTGCGGCATATTGTGTAAAATCTGAATGTGGTGGCTTGTGTGCAAACAAATCTGGGGATAACTGAGCTGAGTATGAGTGGATATACGTGTGAGTGGTCTGAGCATGAATGCGTCTGACTACGGGTGGGTGAGTAAGAGTGGGCCTGGGTGTCAGTGAGTCTAAGTCCGAGAGAGTCTGAGTCGGAATGAGAGATGAAGGAGGCGGGTAAGGTCAGTGAGGCGGAGGCGTGGCACCAATCACCAAAACAATCTATACTCGTGATGCTGGGAACACCCTCGACCCTCGAAGTTCGAAGTTCGATCATCCCTCCCTGCCAGCGCCCTACGCCGCGAGCCCGACGCCTGCGAGAGCAGCCTCGAGCTGGTGCTCAACCAGTGCCCCCGCTGCGCCGGCTGCACCGTGCAGGCCAGCGGGTGTCAGGTCGACTTCATGCCCGCCGCGGCGCCACCGCTCCGCCGCGCGCGCGGAGGCGACGACGGCGATAACGGTGGCGGCGGTGGCGGCAGCAACGACGACATCGGCGACGGCGTCCGCGCCGGGGGAGGTGGAGGAGAAGCGCGGGAGGATGAGGAAGAGGAGGAGGAGGAGGAGGAGGAGGAGGAGGAGGGAGAACGGGGAGAGTGGAGGGCGGAGGATGGCAGAGGAGGAGAGACGAGGAGGCAGGAAGGAGGCTTAAGTGATAAGGGAGCAGGAGAAATCAGAAGGAGGGTGCGGATCAGGAACTTGTGGAGGATGAGGAGGAGAAGAGGCAGGATAATGAGCACTGAAGGGCAAGGAGGAAGGATGTAGGTAGTACATGGTTACGTGGTGACCCGCGCCCCCGCTTGGGAGGTGCATGATGTCCACCCAGGGGTGGGCACAATGGCAGCAAAGGAACATTTGCTGTGTTCTGAGGGAGGCAGATCGATAGCATGCAAACGAACCCTTGCTTCCATATCATATGCTTCATCGCATTGTCTTTTGAAGACATTTCTTATCCAGCACAACTTCTGAACATGTGTGCAGCATTTGTGTCTACGCCACCACGTGAAGCTGTTCCGGTATTTCGGCTTGGTTTCCGGGTTGTCTCCGACGTTGCGCTTTTGGATCTGAAAGTATAGATTCAGCATCTGCTGTGCACATGCATTGCTGTTCGCTATATTGCAGTTTGCGGCAAAGACCAGCGTGCATTCACCGATGTGGAGTCCACAGCATGCCAGGCGCGCGCCAGTAGCCCAACAGACACGAAGGTGAGCTCAACCATGCTAGGGAACTTGAAGGCTTGCTGTGTCGCCAACCATGGGGCCGATCCCACAGTGAGCAGGAGTATTGCCAGAAGTGGATCGGAGGAAGCTCGTTGACGCGTTTGGCGACCGTCTGTCGAGAGCAAAACCCATGAGCTCAACCCGTGCGGTCTAGCCTGCGTCGTGGGCGTCAAAGCACGCATGCCATCGGAGTCCCAATTTGGAGTAACGCAGTTGATTACGGATTTCGTGCTCCAACCACCCGTCAGCGAGCGCATTCGAGTCCACGGTCATACCTCGCTTTATATGACTATTCAAATTGGGGGTGTGGGAGGGACTGTCAGGTTATGCGTATAACCGCCGGTAGGATCGACGTAGCCAGTTCGATTGTCGTCAAAGCACAACCAAGCGGAGCCTCCAACTGCTGTCAGTGCCGATCATGTCAAGCTCGACTGTGCGGTGCTTTCCTGGTAGGGCGTGGAGTTCGTGATTGACGAGAGCTGGCGAGTGTCCAACGTGTGGTCGCAGGGGCTCGGTGGCGGAATGGGTACACGCGCGGCGTGCTGTACAGGAGCGGCCTGAATATGTTCACGCCGTTATTCATCTAATCAGGAGCTTAACAACACATGTTGTCTGCACGCACCCGGCGTCCATCGGGAGTGGATAGGAAAGTGTAGAATTGTCGATGGCCCCTCCCGAGGGCCACCCTGACACTAAAGAGCTCCTTGGGACGGTTCGTGTTCCCCCCCGGGGCCGGACACTTTTTCCCAACCGTCCTGTTGTGTTGGGTCTTCGTTTTGAAGAGACAGCGCCCCGCGTTCTCAATCCTCCCGGTGCCCCTTCCCTCCTCCCTCCTCCCTAGCGCCCAATACAGCGCTTCTTTGCTCCATAGGGAGCTCCACCGAAGGTCCCAGTGTCGCAGCCCGCTGCGTCTCCCAGTCCCAGCACAGCGCTTCGTGGCCCCAATAGGAGCTCCACCTAAGGCTTCAATTGCGCAGCCCGCATGCGTCTCCCCCACCCAGTACATCGCTTCGTGGCCCCATGGGGAGCTTCACGGTCCCAGTGGCGCAGCCTGCATGCGCTTCTGCCACCCACCGAAGATCCCAGTGGCGCAGCCCGCATGCGTCTCCCACCCCCAACACAGCACTCCGTGGCCCCATAGGGAGCTCCAGCGAATGTTCCAGTGGCGCAGCCCGCATGCGTCTCCCCCACCCAGTACAGCACTTCGTGGTCCCATACGGAGCTCCACCGAAGGTCCCAGTGTCGCAGCCCGTATGCGTCTGCCCTACAGTACAGCGCTTCGTGGCCCCGTACGGAACTCCACCGAAGGTCCCAGTGGCGCAGCCTGCATGCGCCATCTCCACCCAGAACAATGTCTGGTGGCCCCACAGGGGGCTCCATCGGGGGTTCCAGTGGCGCAGCCCGCATGCGTCTCCTCCACCCAGTTCAACGTTTTGTGGCCTCACAGGGAGCTCCACCGAAGGTCCCAGTGGCGCAGCCCGCATGCTTCTCCCCCACCCAGTACAGAGCTCCGTGGCCCCATAGGGAGCTACACTAGAAGGGTCTCAGCGTCGCAGCCCGCATGTGTGGCACCCCCACCCAGTACAGCGATTCGTGGTCCCAGAGGATCGTTACCGAAGGTCCCAGTGTCGCAGCGCGCATGCGTTCCCCACACCGAATACAGCTTTTCGTGGCCCCGTAGGGAGCTCCACCGAGGGTCCCAGTGTCGCAGCCCGCATGCGTGTCCCCCGCCTGGTACGGCCTTTCGTGGCCTCCCCATGAAAGGCTCAAACGAAGACGAGACCTAAATTGCGGTATTCACACATGTATATTGATGGGCCCTTCGCCAGCCTAATGTTAAGACATCATGCTGAGTTGGTTGTTCCTTTGGTGGGGATCCCGCGATGATCCCTGGAAAAGCTTGGCACTTCCCAGAAACGCCTGGAAGCGCATAGCAATTCCTGAAGTAAAAGTACTTCCCATATTCTGCGCAACATGTTGTAAGGATTTTGAGGACGTCCCACCTAGCGCATTCGGTTCGGTGGCGGATCAGGACGGAAGGTGGTTCCCGTTCAAGATGGGGTTCTCGCCAGAGGCTTCCGCGATTTGTTTTATTGCGTGTGGCAGTGTACAACACCTACGTCTATGGAGGGCGTTTTTTGTCAAAACGGGACTCTCGCAGGACATGACCTCTCAGCTTCTGGTCTCATCGCGCTCCTCAAGGCACTTCCTGTTCAAAGCGGGGCTCTCCTTTCAAGGACGTGCTTCTCGTGGTGAGGGGAATTCATGTGTGACCTTCCGAGCAGGGGGTTTAGGACGAGAGATTGACGCATCCTTGGTTTACTCTGGACCTCCTCCTTCCTTCCCCGCGCCCCCTTGCCTTCCTCGTCGGGTGGGGTGTTGCTTCCAAGCGCCACAGCCCGGCCTGTCTTGCCAGTGCTTGCCCCTCACCGATGCGCCCAAACCTACGCGGCGCCACATCCCAGTTTAACCATAGTTCGTTTCATGGGCGGTCGCGAACGGGCCCTTATCACACAAGGTGGCAGCGAGGAGTGGCACCACTTTGATTTGCAGCGCCGCGTCTGCTATGTTAGGTCGACCGTTATTCGGTGTCCTGCATGTGGGTGTCTGTGCCAGCGGGTTGGCCATATTCAATATGAGACTACGCTTTGACAGCGGCCAGTTGCAGCAGACGCCGTGCAGTGCTTCTAAAGCCCAATGGACACAGGATGGTGTGGACCATGTTCGTCATTATGCGCATGTGTTTACATATATATATATATATATATATACATATATATATAGAAAAATCGGTACGTCTGAATGTGTATGTGTATGTGCGTGCGGTTGGTGTTTGCGCTGAGGGGAAGCCCTCTTCCATTTTGAAAACAGTTCCAGGAACAAAGCAGGCTTGGTGGATTAGAAGGGTATGTGGTTGAAGTCTAGTTGGCTCTCTCTCTCTCTCTCGTTTCTCTCTCTCGCTCTCTCTCTCTCTCTCTTTCCCGCGCACTCGTTGTACTATATCTATATAGATATATCGATGTGTGTGTATGGGTTCATCTGTGCGTCTCGTCCGTGTCTCTGTGTCTCTCTCGCTCTCTTTCTCTCTCTCTTTCTCTCGCTCCCTCTCTCTCTCTCTATCTCTCTCGAGGTTGCCAAAGGCGTATTGGCGAGCCGAACGACTTGTTTATGTATTCAAGGGGATTCCGAAGGATGCCGAAAGTTTCTTCGGGATGTTCATCGGTTCTTCCAACGGTACGCTGTAATAAGGATTGCTTCAGACACGGTGCCCGAGGAAGGAATATTTCAGTAAGGACCATGCTGGTATTGGTTTCCCTGTTACGGGTGATGTAGTAAGGCTTAGGTTTCCCAGCCATCCTGTGGTGTTGGGTCTTTCTTTTGAGAAAAAAAGACAGCGCCCCGAGTTTCTCCTCCCTTTTCCTCCTCCTCTCATCCGTCTTCCCACCTCCCGTCACCCCCCTCACTTTGGCACACCCCTCACACGTTTCGTGGCCCCATGCGGAGCTCCACCGAAGGTTCCAACTGCGCAGCCCGCATGCGTCCCCCACCCAACCATTACAGCGCTACGTGGCCCTATAAGATGCTCTACTGAAGGATCCAGTGTGGCAGCCCGCACGCGTCTCCCCCACCCAGTACAACGTTTCGTGGCCCCATACGGAGCTCCACCGAAGGCCCCAGTTGCGCAGCCCGCGTGCGTCTCCTTCGCCCAATTTTACCCAATTTGTGTTTCGTGGCCCCATGGGGAGCTCCACCGAATTTCCCAGTGGCGCAGCCCGCATGCGTCCCTCCACCCAATTCTGTGTTTCGTGGCCCCATACGGAGCTCCACCGAAGGTCCCAGTGGCGCAGCCCGCATGCGTCTCCCCCACCCAGTACAGCGCTTCGTGGCCCCACAAAAAGCTCCACCGAAGGTCCCAGTGGGCAGCCCGCATGCGTCTCCTTCACCCAATTCTATGTTTCGTGGCCCCATACGGAGCTCCACCGAATTTCCCAGTGGCGCAGCCCGCATGCGTCCCGCATGCATCCCTCCCGTCACCCCCCTCACTTTGGCACATCCCTCACACGTTTCGTGGCCCCATACGGAGCTCCACCGAAGGTCCCAGTGGCGCAGCCCGCATGCGTCTCCCCCACCCAGAACAGCGCTACGAGGCCCCATGGGGAGCTCCACCGAAGGTCCCAGTGGCGCAGCCCGCATGCGTCCCCCTCACCCAGATCTGCGTTTCGTGGCCCCACAGGGAGCCCCACCGAAGGTCCCAGTGGCGCAGCCCGCGTGCGTCTCCCCCACCCATTACTGCGCTTCGTAGCCCCACAGGGAGCTCCACCGAAGGTCCCAGTGGCGCAGCCCGCATACGACCCCCACACCCATTACAGCGCTACGTGGCCCCAGAGGGAGCCCCACCAAAGGTCCCAATGGCGCAGCCCGCATGCGTCTCCCCCACCCAGAACAGCGCTTCGTGGACCCACAGGCAGCTCCACCGAAGGTCCCAGCGGCGGTGTTCGCAAGCATCTCCCCCACCCAGTACAACGCGCTCGTTTAAAGCGTTCCTTCGAGTTTTTGCATGGGAAAGTTTGTCAACACAGCCCGCATGCGTCTCCACTACCCAGTACAGCGCTCCGTGACCCCATAGAGAGATCCACCGAGGGTCCCAGTGGCGCAGTCCGCATGCGTTTCCCCCGCCCGGTGCAGCGTTCCGTGGCCCTTGAGGGCCTCCAGCCGAAGACGATACTTACAATTGCGATGGTCACAATTGCATCTGCTTCGATCGTTCGCCAGGCTGATTGACTTGTTTTTCGTACGGCTTTCTTGGTAATGATTTTCCTATATGCAGCATTACCCTTTCGTAATAACCCCTGAGTAAGGGTTCCGTATCAAGGATTTATGCGGGCAGGATTCCAGGTTAAACGTGCAACAAGTAATACAGCGCTTCCGCAAGGATTCTGGATCAAGGATTCTCGCACTCGGATCCCTCAGAAAGGATCGCTTGCATACGGACTTGGGGTTCTCCAGTAATGATTTAGCAATACAAATGGTTTTGATACTGGTTGCTTGGTAAGGGCGCATTGGGTCACGGGTTCTTATAGTCAGGGTTATGTAGGAAGCGTTTTCTTAGTACAACCCTGTGTGTTAGGACTCCTCAGAAAGGGGTTGGCGAATAAGGGCCCATTGAATGAGGATTCGTTGGTCTGGATTCCTGTCGTAAGGATTCCTCCGTGGGAGCCACGTCATTCAGTTTGTTGTTCGCTGAAATTGTATGGAGAAGTTATGGTATGAGGACTCCAAGCGTCCACTGTGGAATGATATTGTCGAAAGGATTATTTAGTACTTGTTTCTTAGTCCTAATTCCCTGGGGAAGTTTTCTTTTTGTATGCAGGAATGTGTAAGCATTCGGGCTTATGAGTGATGGTTCTTTATGGACGTCCGGTGGGCGGCAGAATTGACCCCGCTGGGGCCCCGCTGAACGTGCTTGATGACCCCGCTGGGAGGCGGAATCTATACGAGTGGCAGATTTTTGGGGACGACCCCAGAAGAAACCAAACAAATCAAAGAACTCAGTGCGCTGGCCTCTGAAATTGTAGGAACACCCGAAGGAAATCAAGACAACAAGGTTCCAGAGGGGATGCGGGGTCGACCCGTAGACCTTCGGGTTGTCGCTGGGCTCCTTGTTGTTCCCAACCGTCATGCGGTGTTGGGTCATCATTTTGAAGAGACGGTGCCCCGCGTCCTCCTCCTATCCGTTTCTCCTCCTCTTCCCGCTCTTCCCTCCTCCCCCTCTTCCCTCCTTCCGTCACCCCTTCCCTTCGGCACACCCGTCACACGTTTAGTGGCCCCACAGGGAGCTCCACCGAAGGCCCCAGCGGCTGCGTTCACATTCCGCCACTGTCCACTTTGGCGCTCCCGTCACACGCTTCGTGGCCCCATAGGGAGCTCCAGAGCCCCAGCGGCTGCGTTCACATGCCGCCCCCTGCCCATTTTGGCCCATCCCTCGCACACTTCGTGGCCCCATGTGGAGCTCCACCGAAACCCCAGCGGCTGCGTTCACATGTCGCCCCCTGTCCTTTTTGGCCCATCCCTCACACACTTCGTGGCCCCATAGGGAGCTCCACCGAATGCTTCAGCGGCTGCGTTCACATTCCGCCACTGTCCGCTTTGGCACTCCCGTCACACGCTTCGTGGCCCCATAGGGGGCTCCACCAGAGCTCCAGCGGCTGCGTTCACATGCCGCCCCCTGCCCATTTTGGCCCATCCCTCGCACACTTCGTGGCCCCATGTGGAGCTCCAACGAAACCCCAGCGGCTGCGTTCACATGTCGCCCCCTGTCCTTTTTGGCCCATCCCTCACACGCTTCGTGGCCCCATAGGGAGCTCCACCGAATGCTTCAGCGGCTGCGTTCACATTCCGCCACCTGTCCATTTTGGCACGCGCACGTTCCGCGGCCCCATAGGGAGCTCCACCGAAGGCCACAGTGGCTGCGTTCGCATGCCCCCCCCTCTCAACTCTGGCACACCCCTCATACGATTCGTGGCCACATAGGGAGCTCCACCGAAGGTCGGTCACAGTGACATGGTTCGCATGCGCTTCCCCCACCCAGTACAGCGCTTCGTAGCCCCATAAGGGAGCCCCACCGAAGGCCCTAATTCGTGGCGGTGTCCGCATGCATTCCCCAAACCCAGTACAGAGCTACGGGGCCCATCGGGAGCTCCACCGAGGGTCCCAGTGGCGCAGTCCGCTTGCGTCTCCCCCGCCAAATAAAGCGCTTCGTGGCCCCACAAGGGGCGCCTCCGAAGGCCCCAGTTGCGGTGTCCGCATGCGTGTTCCCCACCCAGTACAGCGTTCCGTGGCCACATAGGGAGCTCCGCCGAAGGCCCCAGTGGCGGTGTCCGCATGCGCTCCCCCCATTCAGTACAACGCTTTGTGACCCCAAAGGGAGCCTCACCGATGGCCTCAATGGCAGTGTCCGCATGCGTTTCCCCGACCCAACACAGCGCTTCGTGGTCCCATAGTGAAGGCTCCAGTGGCGGCGTTCCCATGCGTCTCTTTACCCAATACATCTTTCCGTGGCCCCACAGGCAGCTCCAGCGAACGTCTCAGCGGCTGTGTTCGCATGTCTTTCCCCCACCCAGTATAATGCTTCGTGGCCCCACAGGGAGCTCCACCAGAGGCCCCAGCGTCAGTGCTCGCATGCGTCTGCTTAGTACAGCGCTCCCTGGCCCCATAGGGAGCTCCACCGAAGGCCCCTGTGGCGACGTTCGCCTTGCGGCCCTTCTGCATGTCGGCACACCGCTCACAAGTTTCGTTGCCCCATATGGGAGCGCCACCGAAGGCCCACATGGTTGCGCCCGCATGCGTCCCTGCTGCATTTCGGCATACCCTTTACACGTCTCGTGTCCCCACGAAGAGATCCACCGAAGGCGATACCCACAACGACGAGACTCACAACTCCATATGGTCGGGCCTTTCGCCCGGATTAGTTGGTTAGGTTTTTTTGTGCACATGGTTGCATGGTTTCTCTCTCACCTGCGCGCTGGACTGTGTGATTTTTTTGGCTTATCAGCGGGCGATACCAAACATCTGCGACCCGCGTGGATTCCGTCTCACAGTTGGGCCGCCCATCGGACGTTGGGGTCGTCGCTGGGATCAGTTGTTTGTTGTTGTGGTTTTCGTGAAGGTGTTCCTAGACATGTTCTGCCACCAGCGTTTTGGATTGTTTTCTTGTGGGCGGTTCCAAAGACCTTGCTTTCCCCCAGGAAGAAGCGACGGAAGAGGCGAGGGAGGAGGCGAGGAACGAGGAGGAGGAGACAAAGGAAGAGAAAATGGTGGAGGAGGAGGAGGAATAATAATCGAATATGATGACGAGGCTGAACGAAGACGACGAATAACAGCGATGGAGGCAGGAATTGGAAAGAAACAGCGCTGAAATCCACCATGCCTGCTGTGCGCCTGAAGCCGAAACTCGACCGTTGGACCTCTCCTGGGATGCGGTGCCAACCTGAACTCTGCAGTGGAATCTAGCCGTCGCCACAGGGACGCCCCCGGAGAAGCGAAAACGGTAAAAAACTATATCCAAACGCGTTCCTTGATCTTCGACCCTCGAGTCTCGAGCCCTCCTCCTCGAACTCCACTCATCCCTCCCTCCCCTCTTTTTTATCCGGTCTCTCGAGGTCCCTCCCTCCCTCAAGGCCCCCAGGGGCCCGAACTTGAGAGGCATCCCCGACCCTCGACTCTCGAACCTTCTCTTCCCCTCCTCCTCCTCCTCCTCCTCCTCCTCCTCCACCCCATCTCTCCCTCCCCTTCCCTCCTCGTCCCTCCATCCCCTCTATCCCCTTCTTCCCCTCCCCCCCCCTCTCCCCCTCCCTCCCTCCCTCCACTGCGTCCTCACATCCTCCCCTCCCTCAATCCCTTCTCCCCGAAGGCGCCGCCCGCGGCGGAGGCGCCTCCGGACTGCAAGGCGGGCGTAGAGGTGGAGTGGGACGCGACCAAGAGGCGCCAGAGGGGAGGTCCTCTTCCTTCTCCTGCTCTTCCTCTTCCTCTTCGTCCTCCTTTCCTCCTCCTTCTCGTCCTTGTTTTTCTTTTCCTACTTCTCCTCCTTCCCCCTCCTCCTCCTCCTCCTCCTCCTCCTCTTCCTCGTTCTCCTACCTCCTCCTCCCTCCTTCGTTCTCCTCCTCCCTCGTCGCCACTCCTCGCCCCTTCACAGTTCCATTCGATGTATACTACTCGCCTCTTTCCCCGGATTCCGTCTGGAAGATATTTGGTCCTCTCGGCGTGTCGTTTCGTATAGTGATGAATTCACAAGTTTGTGTTTCTAACGCTTGATTACCATCTAGTCAATCGGTCCTTCAAAATGGTACTTCCGCTATAGCGTTGGCATCATGTCCGCGCTTCTGGTCCCTCAAAATCGTAGTCACGCTGCAGCGTTGGCCTCAAATCAGGATCGCCAACCCCCTGCTCCCATCTTTGAGAATGGCGCTCTGGCCCCAGCGCGTGCCATTCTTCTGGATCCGAGGGCTTCCCCATCATGGTCATCCAGCTCCGCTTACCTCCCCCGCATTTCCATGATCATCCTGCTCCTCCAGCTTCTCCCACTCCTGCTCGCGCTGCTGCTGTTCCTCCTCGTCCTCGTCCATGTCCCATTCCTTATAGATGACTCCTTGTCGCACCCCGAGGCTGATCGAAAGGGCGGGCCAGGCGCTTCGCATGAGGATTCCTCACAATGTGTGACCCTACTGCTTAAACGTTGACATGTGGAGGGCGGGCCGTCTTCAAAATGTGGCGCTCCGATGAGCGCCGCGCACATTACTTTAAAACCACGTAAGAGTTTCACATGTTGAGGGCGGGTCGTTCAAAACATGCGGCTCTCGCTTTAGCGCCACGCACATTCGTGTACAACCATTCGCAAGAGCTTCACGGATTGACGGCGGGTCGTTTTCAACATGTGGTTCTCGCCTTAGCGTTGCGCACATGCGTTTTAGACATGTGCAAGAGTTCCACGGATTGAGGACTGGTCGTTTTCAACATGTGGCTCTGGCCTTGGCACCTTGGACATTCGATTACACATGTTGCAACTGCCTCACGGATTCAGGACAGGTCTTTTTCACTATGTGGCTCTCGCCTTAGCGCCGCGCACATTCGTTATGAAAAGTTGCAAGAGCTTTACGGATTGATGGCGGGCCGTTTTGAACATGTGGTTCTCGCTCCAGCGCCGTGCAGATGCGTAAAGCAAGTTGCAATAGCTTCACGGGTTGAGAGCAGCTCCTTGTCATAATGAGATTATCGCTGTAGCGCCGCGCGCATTCGTTTTGGATATTTACGAGGTATTCAGTTTATCTCATCTCCTAACTCACCAGAAATTGCGTTCTGGAGCGATTCAATACTGTCAGGGCGCAACAGAGGCGTTGATTCGCTGTGCCGAAGTCCCAGGAATGGCGCTCTGGCGCGATTCACGATCGCCAAGACGTAACAGTCAGGTTAACCAGTGGCGTTGAAGTCCTAAGAATGATGTTTTGTCCGGCTCCAAAATGTTCACGCGGTGGGAATGACCCGTTGCAGGGGCCTGCGAAGATGGATCTTGGAGGGAGGGTGTATTTCAACATCGTTGATGCGTCTTGGGTCTACACTGGTCCTCCTCCGCCCCCTCCTTCTCCTGCTCCGGCTGTTTATCGTCCTTCACCGCCGCCAACTCTTCCTCCAGTCTATGCAACTCCCTATCCGATTGCGAAGGCCTTGCGGCCGGCGCCGCCGACCCTGAAGGGGAACGACGACAACGGCGCCGGCGACGACGACGACGACGACGCTGACGTGGGTCAGAGTCCTCATGGATGCTTCTTGGGGTCTCTTCCAAGCGCTCTCGGGGGCCTCAGGGGGACAGTTTAGGGCCTCTTGGGAGTCTCTTGGGGGCCCCCTGGGAGCCTCTTGGGGGCCTCTCGGGGCTTCCTGGGGGCCTCTTGGGGGCCTCTTGGGGCGTCTTGGGGGCCTGTTGGGGGCCTCTTTTGGTTCCTCCTGGGAGCCTATCGGGGCCGAGGGCTCGAAATGTTCGTTCTGGTCCCTCGTCTGGGCACCCTCTTGGAGCTGTTTTGGGGGTTGGGGGCCTCTTGGGCCGTCTTGGAGGCGTCTTGAGCCATTTGGGGGACCTCTTGGGCCTTGTTGGCTCCCTCCTGGAGCCCTCTTGGGTTGTCTTGGGGCGATCTGGGGAGCCTTTTGTGCCGTCTTAGAGCGTCGGGAAGCGGAAGAAGTGAGAACGCCAAAATGCTTCAACAACCAATTGGAAATCAGTGATTTGTCCCCGCATGTTTCGTGGTTTTGGTTTTCTTCCCACCCGCGTCGCACTCGCGTCTTCCTCACACCTCCCTCCTCCTTCCTCCCTCTCCTCCTCTTCCGTTCTCCTCCCACCCACGCGCAAGGCATGCGCGGCACGTGCATGAATCACGCGTAAAAGGCGTGGCACTTTCTCGACACCAGAGGGGGTGCGCAGGGGGTGGTCCCTCACCGCGGCCGCTATGCGCGCCTCTCGTCCAGGGCATAGGCGTGGCATTTTGTCGATACCCTGGAGGGTGCGAAGGGGGGGGTCCTAAGCTCGGCCGCTATGCGCGCCTCTCGTCCAGGGCATATCAGGCAAGGCACTTTCTCGACACCAGACGGGGCGCGCCGGGGGAGGTTCCTGAGCTCGGCCGCTATGCGCGCCTCTCGTCCAGGGCATAGCAGGTCTGGCACTTTCTCGACACCAGAGAGGGTGCGCAGGGGGTGGTTCCCGAGCTCGGCCGCTATGCGCGCGCTTCTCGTCCAGGGCATAACAGGCGTGGCATTTAGTCGACGACAGAGGGGGTGCGAAGGGGGTGGCTTCTGAGCGCGGCAGGGCATAGCAGGCATGGCATTTTCTCGACACCAGAGGGGGTGCGCAAGGGGAGGTACCTGAGCGCGGCCGCTACGCGCGCCTCTCGCCCAGGGCATAGTTTTGAGCTCGGCCGCTATGCGCGCCTTTCGTCCAGGGCATAGCAGGCGTGGCATCTTCTCGACACCACAGGGGGTGGTCTCTAAGCGCGGCATCGGATCTTTGCGCGCCGTGGAAGGCCCAGCCAGCTGGTGGGGTCAAAGTGGCCTCTAGCCAGTAACGCCCAGGCTTTTGCCCTTCCTGGACCCCCTCAGGGCACTCAGGCTCCCAAGGCTTGACCGGCGCCACCAATGGTATCGGCGAAACAACGGCCACCTGCATCATTCTCGCAAGCTCCACGTCGGCTATCATCGCGCCAGACATCTTGTAAGTATGTGGGGTTCCTCGGTAGCGTAATTCCTTTGGGGGCCTTCTTGGGGGTTCTCCTGGAGGCCTCTTAGGGCGCCTTGCAGGGCTTTTGGGCCGTCTGGAGGCCGCCAAGGCGTCTTGGACAGATCGTTCGGCGAATCGGAGCCCTCTTGGAGCATCTTGGGGGCCTTTGGGGGCTCTCTGGGCCCGTCTTCGTTTGACTTTTTGTTTGTAGACCCCGGGACCCCCCAGGGGGGAGTCGTATCTGACCCGGGACCCCCCCTGGACCCCCCCAAGAGAAGTGGCTCCCCGTAGAGTCAATTACGACGTTGTTCAATTTCGCTTTGGCTGGCGCGCTTGAGGAGGAGGGCCTTGGGAAGGGAGGGGTGAGCGGCGACGGTCCCAGGGAAAGGGGGGGCGCAGGGAAAGGGGACGACAGAAACGACGACTAGCGAATGACGGAGACGATGACTCGAACGGACAAACCCCTCACACACGCCGACAGGGTCGTCGGATTGCTCATAACACGATGGGGTCCGCTTTGCAGTTTGAGGTCGGCTTCGACACGCGTCTGCATGGGAAAATATCAGCGCAATGGGAAGGGATGGGTGGGAGGGGTAGGATGTCAGATATGGCGCGATCGTGCCTAGCGTGTCCTCCTCTATCCTCCCTCCACAATTACACAATATGAATACTGCTCGACGTCCGGAAGATATTCGGACCCCGTCCGCGTATTGTTTTCTACACAGGAATCCCAGGAATTGGGTTTTCGTTTGGGCTTTTTTTCCAAATGCTGTTCCCGCTGACGCGCTGGCCTCATTTTCGGGCTTCCGCTCGCTCCTGCTCCCGCTGCAGCGCTGGCCTCATTTCCGCACTTCCGCTCGTTCTGAATCGTGTTCCCGCTGCAGCGCTGGCCTCATTTCCGCGCTTCCGCTCGTTCCGAATCGTGCTCCCGCTGCAGCGCTGGCGTCGTTATTTCCAGTGCCGTGCCATGGAATGGTTTTCGGTCCTTCCAAATAGGCCCCCCGAAAAAGACCGTCGGAAGTGATTACACATTCGGTGTCGATTCGTTGATTTTTCGGGCCGCAGAGGCCCCCCCTCCCCCACTTTGGGGCGTCGCCACGCCATGTTATGCCATGCTGAACTCTGGCCTTCAACACCATGACATGCCATGTAATGCTATGCCACGCTGCGACATCCGACTGTGCGAAAAGAGAGGGGATCCACGCCATGGTAAGGGATGGGAGGGAGGGGTCGGCCGTCAGATATGACGCGAGCGCACCTAGCTTGTCCCCCTATCCCCCCTCCGTCCGTCCCTTTGATCTTCCTTCCTCCCTCCTCCTCCTCCTCCTCCTCCTCCTTCTGAGGCCTTCTTGACCAGTGGCACGTCGCGTCCCAAAAGTGGTGGCACCGGGCGATCGAGCTCCCCTCGTCTCGTGCTGCCGCGCCGCTCCTGGTGTATCAGTATAACACGTATGCTGTTAGCACGCTCGGCTATCTCGCCCAATTCTTCCCCATGTCCCCTCTTGCTCTCTCGCGTGAGGCTCTCGCTCTTCACAAGCTGCTCCGTCTTCCCCCCAATACGTTTTCTCGCGCCGATTTGTTGTCGTTGCAGTGGATCGGCTCGACGCCGAAATCGCTCATGCTCCTGGGTGTCTCGGCAGCGTGGCGCACATTGACCCACACCGTGCCCGACTGGCACGCTGCCTACGACAAGTTGCAGCAGGCCGCCGATGCCGCTTGTGGATCG